GTCTAAGCAAAAGCTTGTCGAGGAGCGAGGGGAAGAAGGGAGAAGAGTCCAGTGCACGGCGGAAATAATACAACAGCAAACCCGAACCGGTATAATTCCCGCCGTGCAACATTTCTCGCGCCTTCCCGACTCGAGAAATGTTGCAAAACTTTTCGGCCAGATTGCAACTTTTTGCTCCTCGAGAAAAGTTTCAAAACTTTTTGCGCAACTTTTTGCTCCCATACTGGGCGTACATTTGGAATGTTGCAAGAAAAGTTNTGGAGGTGTACCCCATGGACGACGTAGCCGCGTTCTGGCAGCACCATGCTGAGGGTTTCTGTCCACAGGGCAACCCACTCAACGTTTGAGAAAAATTGGAACCNTGCAGAACTGCAACTTTTCTTGCAACATTTGTGAGCCATAAAAACCGGTTATATTATATACATGCGTGATGGAGTAATTAAGTGGAGGTGTACCCCATGGACGACGTAGCCGCGTTCTGGCAGCACCATGCTGAGGGTTTCTGTCCACAGGGCAACCCACTCAACGTTTGAGAAAAATTGGAACCAAGGGTAGGTTCTGTAGGGTACCCACAGACGAGTTCTGTGAGTTCTGTGAAGGTCGCGCCACAGTACCCTAAAGTTCTGTGAGTTCTGTGACAGACCCAGCACCCTACCGAACTTTTCTGTGAGTTCTGTGACAGACCCAGTACCCCACCGAACTTTTCTAGAGTCACGGGTGTGTTCTGTAGGGTACGGGTACTCCCTGTAGGGTANGGTTCTGTAGGGTACCCACAGACGAGTTCTGTGAGTTCTGTGAAGGTCGCGCCACAGTACCCTAAAGTTCTGTGAGTTCTGTGACAGACCCAGCACCCTACCGAACTTTTCTGTGAGTTCTGTGACAGACCCAGTACCCCACCGAACTTTTCTAGAGTCACGGGTGTGTTCTGTAGGGTACGGGTACTCCCTGTAGGGTACCGGGGGTGTCACAGAAACCACACAACTATTCTGTAGGGTACGGGAGGTGTCACAGAATCCACATAACTATTATTCTGTATTGCGAGGGTGTTACAGAACCTCACAGAGCTATTTTTTTTAGAACTATTCCGTATTGTTCGAGGGGGTCACAGAACTATTCTGTAGGGTACGGGAGGTAGGTGTCACAGAATCCACAGAACTATTCTGTAGGGTACGGGAGGTGGCACAGAACCCACAGAACTATTTATTCATTTATTTTTGCCTTCCGACAATTGCAGATGTACCTCAGAAAACTTTCACTTAATGTCTCATACTCTACATGAATATTAAACCAATACGAAGTACAACAACATATGTAGGACTTATTTCTACTGTCATTTACATCGTAAAAGTATCTCCTCTTCAACTTACCAATGACAATCCTGATGGTATCCTATATGCGTTCGTAAGCTTGCTAAAATACTACTGCGTTGATGTCCGCTTGTAAAAGCTGAAATCCAACAAATGCTTTGATCCATGCTACATCTCCGTGTTGGAAAAGCCCTTTCATCTCCGTTCATGATAACATCTTACCCTATTCTACGCAAATCTGTCACATCTACTCTCAAACAAGACGCCAACTTCAAACGAAAACGCGTTCTACGATGCGTCTACACTCCATCCCCATATCATTGGCGTTGACTGGTCCGAGGTCGATCTTGTTCGCCTGTTTTCGGCGTCTTGACGCCCGCGCAATGCGAGCTTGTACCTCTGCACTCGCCGAGATATGGCCACCTGTGTAGCCACCGAAACGATCTGAAGAAGTCGTTCCTTGAAGACTCCTTTCAGAGCCATCGTTCCTCCGTCCCTTCCTCCCACGGCATGTGTCGCAAGTTCATCGATGAACTCGTAACCCTCCTCTCCAAGGCGGCCAAAGCTTTCCACGGCTAAGGTGGTAAGTTTAAAGCTGCGTTCGTCAAAGGACACGTGTCCCGGACGAGCGTAGTGCTGACGCTTTCGCGCCTCGGATGCTTGGGCTGCGATTCCATCGCTGGTCGCGCTGCCGTTCCGCAAGTGTACCTGTGCTTGCGGGTCTGCGTGTGTGACATCGAGGAGTATTCCTTTGTTGCGGTACCCCGGAGAAGATGCGTTCGTGAGGGCTCCTGGCCTGATGACGATGTCCATGCTCAGGTTTCTTTCCCCCGTGAACGGTGCCCCGCTTTCAACGAACTATTATTCTGTATTGTACGAGGGTTCTACAGAACCCCACAGAACTATTCTGTTTTGTACGAGGGCGTTACAGAACCCACATAATAGCTATTCTGTAGGTGTCACAAAACCCACAGAACTATTCTGTAGGGTACAAGGGGTGTTACAGAACTCTGTGTCTACAGAAGAGCCCCCGGTACTTACCCGGTACCCCTGAATTACCCTACGGAACACGACGAGTTTGAAGACGTGCGTGTTTATGACGAAGTTACAGGAAGAGGTAAGGGCGCAATAGCACCCAACAATATAGTAATCATACTTCTAGCACTAAAATGAGCGTATCGTTCAAATCAACTGCCGCCGTAGCCGCGCAGCACTTAGTCACTAAGTGCACGACCGCGCAACTGAAGTTCGTTAACACAACACCCGGAGCAGAAGCCTTAGCCTTCCCATGCGACTCCGACTCAACCAACATTGACTGCTACGTCCTTCTCACGGAGTCAAAGAAAGAGGCTACTTATCAAACGCTCGCGACGTTCACAGGCCGATGTCCGAGTTGTTGGTGGTGTTCTCAATCACGTCGAAGGCAGCCTCAGCGGCCGCCAGGTCAGCACCCCCCCCGTTGAACCGTGGCGGCAGACATGCCCTGATATCCTTGGCGGCAATGATGGGAATATCCTTGAACACGGGGATAGGCTTGTAGTTGGCGTGGAGGAACATCACCATCTCTACCCAGTAGGTGCCNGGTGTTCTCAATCACGTCGAAGGCAGCCTCAGCGGCCGCCAGGTCAGCACCCCCCCCGTTGAACCGTGGCGGCAGACATGCCCTGATATCCTTGGCGGCAATGATGGGAATATCCTTGAACACGGGGATAGGCTTGTAGTTGGCGTGGAGGAACATCACCATCTCTACCCAGTAGGTGCCTCAAAACCCGGCACATACGACGCCGCGGGAAAAAAAAACAAAAATAGGGTACAAACCACTCGGAAAAAGAAAACAAAATGATAGAAAGAAAATAACAGGTATCGCACCGACCGTTCGAGAAAAGAGCCCTCGGAAACCGATCAAAACATAACAAAAACAAAAATAAAGGAGGACGCTTCCCACACCCGCCCAAAGAAAAAATCAAAGGATAACGTACCAGCACCAGGCACTACGCACCAGGGCATGGGAGCAACGGAGCAAACAGGACAAAGAGGCGGCAGATGGGCAGACAGTCAGACGTACAAAAACAAAGGCAACAGCAAAGCGAGATCATGGTACCCAGTAGGCAGGGAGGTCATGAAAAAAAGAAACACAGAGACACAGCAACACAGCACAGAGAGAGGCCGAAGGCAATATGTGTATAACTTCCCGGTTGTGCGCGGACCTGACGTCACACGGGGGCATTCTACAGAATCTCACAGAACTATTTATTATTTATTTATTTTTGCCTTCCGACAATTGCAGATGTACCTCAGAAAACTTTCACTTAATGTCTCATACTCTACATGAATATTAAACCAATACGAAGTACAACAACATATGTAGGACTTATTTCTACTGTCATTTACATCGTAAAAGTATCTCTTCTTCAACTTGAAATAAAACCAATGACAATCCTGATGGTATCCTATATGCGTTCGTAAGCTTGCTAAAATACTACTGCGTTGATGTCCGCTTGTAAAAGCTGAAATCCAACAAATGCTTTGATCCATGCTACATCTCCGTGTTGGAAAAGCCCTTTCATCTCCGTTCATGATAACATCTTACCCTATTCTACGCAAATCTGTCACATCTACTCTCAAACAAGACGCCAACTTCAAACGAAAACGCGTTCTACGATGCGTCTACACTCCATCCCCATATCATTGGCGTTGACTGGTCCGAGGTCGATCTTGTTCGCCTGTTTTCGGCGTCTTGACGCCCGCGCAATGCGAGCTTGTACCTCTGCACTCGCCGAGATATGGCCACCTGTGTAGCCACCGAAACGATCTGAAGAAGTCGTTCCTTGAAGACTCCTTTCAGAGCCATCGTTCCTCCGTCCCTTCCTCCCACGGCATGTGTCGCAAGTTCATCGATGAACTCGTAACCCTCCTCTCCAAGGCGGCCAAAGCTTTCCACGGCTAAGGTGGTAAGTTTAAAGCTGCGTTCGTCAAAGGACACGTGTCCCGGACGAGCGTAGTGCTGACGCTTTCGCGCCTCGGATGCTTGGGCTGCGATTCCATCGCTGGTCGCGCTGCCGTTCCGCAAGTGTACCTGTGCTTGCGGGTCTGCGTGTGTGACATCGAGGAGTATTCCTTTGTTGCGGTACCCCGGAGAAGATGCGTTCGTGAGGGCTCCTGGCCTGATGACGATGTCCATGCTCAGGTTTCTTTCCCCCGTGAACGGTGCCCCGCTTTCAACGTCGTGTTTGACGCGAAGGCCTTTGAGTGCTCTCGATAGTGCGTTTTAAACGGCTCGTGCATGTTGACCTGTGCTCCATCCCTTGGACAGGTCCTTGCGTGCACCGTTGTGATGATCTCGCCTTCCCTGCCTCTGTGGCACCTGGGACATCTTTCCGCCAAGAATTCTTCAACTCCCAAGGCGCGTCTCGTCGCGTAGACGAATTCGTTCGATGGAATCTCTCGAGCTCGGTCGGTGGGAGCCGCTCTCAGGAACGCGTGCCCCCCTTGCCCTTGCGAGCTTCTCGTTCGTGCGTATGTATTCTGTGTTATACGAGATTGCTACAGAATCCACAGAACTATTCTGTAGGGTACGGGAGGTGTCACAAAACCCACAGAACTATTTTGTATTGTACGAGGGTTCTACAGAACCTCAGACCTATTCTGTATTGTACGCGGGCGCTGCAGAACTATTCTGTAGGGTACGGAAGGTGTCACAGAATCCACAGAACTAACCTGATTTTTTTACGATGTGAGTGACAGTAGAAATAAGTCCTACATATGTTGTTGTACTTCGTATTTGTTTAATATTCATCAAGAGTATGAGGCAATATGTGAAAATTTTCTGAGATACATCTGCAATTGTCGGAAGGCAAAAAATAAAAAAATCTGTAGGGTACGGGAGGTATTACAGAACCCACAGAACTATTCTGTCTTGTACGAGGGTTCTACAGAACCTCACAGAACTATTTTGTATTGTACGAGGGCACAGAACATACAAAGCTTGTCTGTAGGGTAATTACAGAGGGTAATTACCCCCGGTACAGGTCTGTGAGTACCCTACAGAACACACCCGTGGACCCAAAAAAGTTTACAAGAAACTTGAGATATAAACGCTTCCCCTGTCAGAGTATATTTCGCTGTGCACTAGCAGCAGTACGATGCTGCAGATGCCGGTAGACTGTGTAGCCTACCTCAGAGGTTCACACTCTGTGCGGCTCCAACCGCGAGAGTCTTGGAATAGAAATATGAAAATGTTTTTATTAATCGCTGACTCCCGAGTCAGATGTTGCTGGTGGTACTGAAGAGGAGTGAGAGTGGTGGGCGAGCTTAGGGCTGCACCACTCTTCTCGAATACCGGACAAATAAGCCAATCACACGAAAGATCCAGAATGCTTCCAGAATGATTTCTGGAAGCCCTCCTACGTTCTGGAAGAGTATCAACTGCAACCTAGATCTAGAACGCTTCCAGAAACTTACAGAAGGAACCAGAAGCTTCCAGAAGGCTTCCAGAAGCTACACACGTTCTACGTACGTACATGTCCCGGTCAACCTTGACCTAGCATGCTTCCGGAATATTTCTAGAACAAGAGAATACATCAGATTCCAAACGCCTACATTGTGCCATCAGATTCCAAACGCCGTGCGGTACTGCCGTCAAACGCCAACGCTAACTCCACCTCCACCTCCACCTCCACCCGACACTGCCGTCAAACACCTCTCTCTCTCTCCTACTCTGTCTCTAGGATAATCGCGGCAATACGCCGCGCGGCAATGCCGACAAACTCGAACTCCTACTCAATCAAAACGCGACCATACGTTGTGCTGTACTACTGCCGTCAAACTCCACCGCTCTCGGTCAAAGGCCGACTACCTGTAGCAATGGCTAGACCCAACCTAGGTTACCAGTAATCCTCAAGAACTGATGCCAGTTTCTAAACTGATGATACGATGAGTGTGTGTAGGCATGGTGGTATTAGAAATAGTATTATTGTGCGTAATGTAATGCAGTGATTGGCGAGGTTTTGTGCTTTGTCTTCCTGACAGTCGTGCTGAGACCAACTTTCTCTCCCCGGCAACAGCGTGATCAACACTTTATCTGGGCTCTATTTGGTAGCTACTTTTTGAGCAGCAGGTGTAGCTTGATCAAAAATGAGTGATCATTGTTTTATCTAGACTCTCTTTGGGTAGCAGGTTAAACCTGATCAAAAACTTGTCGTGTCTTGGTTGTGTCAGCGTGTCCCGGAGATGTGTGAGTTCTCAGCGACGTGCAACATTGATCGGTACCTCCACCTTGTTACAGATTAATAATCCACAATATTGACGAAATGAATGCTGATTTCCGAATATTGTTTTACATTGTCTTAATGTTGCTATTTGCTGTGAGATTGCGGTTCCAAAGTTGTTAAGGTTTTGACTCAGGATTGATTTCTGTGACGAGATGTGACGATCTCTGACGCGGGTTCAGTGTGGAGCTAGTTCGACCACTGTGTGCAGGTTGGAGCCGCTTCGCTTCTTCAGTCTGTTTCCTTCCTTATCCTTCCTTTCTTTCTCAGTCGCTCGCTATCGCTCACTCCCAGGCAATACCAGGGAACACCAGGCAAGACAGTCAGCAAGGTGGAACGCTTGCCCATTGCTTGCTACTGCTAGTAACCATTGTACTGCTACCTGCCTAAAGTCGGAATGCTAGGAATCTAGGCAGGTGGTCGGGATATTCCTGAAAGATATACCCGCCCAGATGTTATCTTAGTCCAAGGGTCCAAACACCATAACATTACCCTATGGTGAGAACAGGAGCAGCGGCTGTATTATTATTTTTCGATCGAGGACTGATGAACCTCCGTTTCAGGATGATATTCAGCTCTTTATATTGAGTGGCAATGTCGCAGTGATCGGTAGTTTCAGCCAAACCATTCCACAAGTAGGGTCCGACGACTTGAAAGTGTTTTTCATTTATTTGCTGTTTTTTCTGCTTTCACTACTGTGCAGAACCGGGGGGAATGTTGGTATGGTATGTAATGCTCCTCAGTAGGAGTGCTGGTTTGTTCGGAACTAACCACCCAACAACGACGGATATACGGTCCCTAGCACCGTGTCGGAGAGGATCCTGAGTTTGGCGGTCGGGAGTTACCGCGGTCACGAGATCGAGGTAGGTCGTGATAAGCCAACTTGGAGACAGCTGCCGATGGGTTTGAACCCAAATGCCCCGGTTTGGACACCGGGGCAAGGCA